CATCTTAAGATTCTTATTTGAATTTGAGAAAAAAAAATAAAAACACTATCGTATTTAAAAAAAAAAAAAAAAAAAACTCGTACGGGCCCCCTAGCGTACGACCACAAGAGTACGAATCTGTACTCGTACAAGGGTGCGTACAAGTGGCAACGCAGAAGAAAAATAAAAAAAATAAAAAAGAGAAATTAGAGAATTAAAATTAGTGAATGCGCAAGCCCGTTTTCGACACCGCCATTTTTGGTTATATTTTTTTTTTTTGTAATAGCCAAATGCCCTAAAAATTTATAAATGTGTACTTCAGATAATCAAAAACTCATGAAAAAAAATTAAAAAAATAATAAATTTGTTTAGACCCCGAAATAAAGTGAAAACAAGAAGTAAAAAGTGAAAAACAAAAAATTGTCAGTGGGTGAGCACGTTTTGACACCTCCACCTTTGGATTTTTGGCTAAGCAAAATGACGCCAAACTTTATCCGCATGTACCTTACATCATAGAGACGTACAAAAACAAATTCAGAAAAAAAAAAAAAAATTAGGTGCCGAAATATTTTTTGGCAGGGACCGAACCCCTTCAGGTTCGGACCCCGAACGTGACCCCGAACGCCCGAACGTATGGAGGTCCGCCCGGGGGCCTCCATACGTACGGGCTGTATATATATATATTGTGACGATATATATATCGTCAAACAGAGCTGCAGGTAACAACTTCTGAGGAATCCCTGCTTCTGGGATGGACTCCTTGACTACAGCAAACAGCAACAGTCTGTTATGCTCGTTTGCCTTGAAAGATGAGAGTGTCGCATCATGATCATGACATGATGACACCCCACCAGACACCAATAAGCAGCAGCTAATGGGAGGCAACGTTGTTCAGTTTATTATTCTGCATAACATAGTGTTTCTTTTTTTCAGAACTTTTTTGAATTTTTGTTTTTGGCAGAGATCTTGCCTCTCTTGCCCGGCTGGCCCGCCAGGGCAAGCAAAGGTGACCCGGGTGGGCCAGTTGGTACTCCCACAGGCGATAATTGATGTGGGTGTTGGGAAAGGATTGTTTTTTATTTCGAGACAGAATTTTCAGAGAATTTTGACAGACTTTTTTTTCTTCTTTTTTTTCTTCTTTTTTTTCTTCTTTTTTTTTGGGTGTGCCCACACCACAGGCATTGGACTCGAACCACCAGTACGTTTCCCAGCCCTTTTTTTTCTCCAATGCGGCTGAATGCACGCCACAACGTCGGGGGTCGGTGACCGGAGCAAAATGGCTGGCAGCACCAGCCAAAAGGTGGCATGTGCCAGCTCGTCTTTTTTTGGCGCGCAGGGCGTTTCCAGCTCCAGGGAAAAAGAGGCTAGGAAGTACTGGTGGTTTTTTTTTTTTTTTTTTTTTTTGAAGTACTGGTTGTGTAACCACCACATTGCATGCACAAGTTCTTCAGCAAGTATAAGAAAGAAGTGAAAAGAGAAGGCATGAGAGAAACACAAGAGAGCGTTTTCCTTCAGCCTGGCTCTCCGAGTATCTTCAACGGTGTTGATTAAGTTGTGTCTGTTGACTCTGTACCGTTGGGCACTTGTGCAGTGTCTCATGTATTTGCATGCAGGAGGGAAACAAGAAGGGCAGAGAGACACAGGGAGGGGAGATACCATTTTCACACCTCTGTCGTGTTGTTATAACCTCGTCAAGCAGGGAAGCAGGAAATAAACAAGAAGGCTTTTGTTACGATCCTGGATATTTCCGAAGTGCAAATTCACAAGGAAAGACAATGCCACCCAACTGCAAAAGGAGTGAAAGCACTTGCAAAGAGATAGAGACCAAAGAAGAAGGAAGAAGAAGAAGAAGAAGAAGAAGATGTACACCAGAAAAACCAATCACAAATCCCCCGTCTCTCTCCACTTTCCTACACCTCCTTGTCTCCGCCAATCTTATTCGTCTCACAAATAATAATAATAACAACAAGTGCTTGAACCAGAATCAATATCCAAAGTTCCCTCTTACTGCCAGCACAACAAGAGGTCCACCATAGCCATGGCCTCCCCCTTCTCCTTCCTCACACAGGCCTAGGCTATGGCAGACTACTAAGGGCCCTGCCCTCGTGTGCAAAAGACAACGCAAAGCAGCTATGCACGCTGCTGTTCAGGCCGTCATGCCTGACCCCGCCTTGAAGCCTTCTTGGTGCAGTGCAACCCCAACTGGGCCTTCCAGATGCAGCGCCTAACAAGGTGGCGAAGATGGTGTCCTCCATAGCCAGGTAGGTACCTCCCCACTCCCCTCCTTCGCCCCCTTCTTCGTGCTCCTCAAGCTGGGCTGCTCGCCAAAGCCAGGCAGAGCGCCCAGCTCCCTTCTTCCTCCCAGGCAGCGCTCTGAGAGCCAGCGCCCGCTCAAGCAGCATGACGCCTAACTTGCATACCACAAGTGAGGTAGAGCCCAGTGCTCTACCTGGAGAAATAGCAGCCTACTTGCCTCTTGGGCGGTGACTTCCAGAGCATGCGGCCTCGAAGCAACCCGTACCTCCTCCCTTTCAGAGGGAAACATCATTGCAGGCTCTGATATCGTCCGCAGAGGCCCTAGACTCAGGCTACTTGGACTGGTACCCGCCTACCTCTAGCCTACCGGTACCAGGCCTCTAAAAATGCCAGCTTTTCGCCTTCTTCTGCTCGGCCTTCAGTTCCTGACACATCTACCGCTACTTGAGTGGTACCGGCCTACCTGCTACTTGAGTGTATCATTGCAGGCTCTGATATCCTCCGCAGAGGCCCTACACTCAGGCTACTTGGACTGGTACCCGCCTACATCTAGCCTACCACTACCAGGCCTCTAAAAATGCCAACTTTTTCTCTTCTTCTGCTCGGCCTTCAGTTCCTGAGACATCTACCGCTACTTGAGTGGTACCGGCCTACCTGCTACTTGAGTGTTTTTTCCGCCCTGCCTTAAGTGTTGTGGGCCTAGTCCCCGCTACTTGAGTGTTTTCCCCGCTGCAACCCTCAAAGTCACAGCCACAGGAAAGTACTGGCCACGCGGGCCTCACAACAGACAAGTGCCTTGTCGGGCCACACACACACTCAGGCCGACCAGCACTCAGACAGGTATGCAGACCATCAAGCACGCACACACACACACACACACTTAGAAAACTCAGCAGAATGCGGGAATCTCGGCAAGGCATCCATTCCAGCGGCAGAACTCAAAAAACAGCAGTGTTCTCAGTCTGTGTTTTGGCAGGTAATTACACTGTTCAATTACGAGGGACACTGGACCCGCTTTCCAGCTGATGCCGCTCCCCACCAATAGATTGGATGATTGGATCCATCTGATAGGCAAGGCCTCAATCCAGGTGGTTCTCTCACCACCAAGCAGGATAGTGACCTTCCAACAGGAGTGTTTCATCGAAA